CAGCGTGTGAAAGGATTGGCACCGTTAATCCTCTCCCCATGAATATGATCAACGTTGCCCACAAAGAAAATGGAGAGATAACTCAAGCCTGGGATGATGTCACTGGAAACGAGCTCGATCCTAAACTGGCCGTAAAAGCACGCCAAGAAGAAATGGAACAATTCAGAAAACATAAAGTTTACGAGAAAGTGAAAGAGGAAGTATGCTGGCAAATTACAGGGAAGGCACCCGTCGGAACCAGATGGATAGACATCAACAAAGGAGATGAGTTAAGCCCAGACCACAGGTCAAGGCTAGTGGCCCAGCAGGTTAAATGCAATTCCAAAGAAAAGAATATATTTGCAGCTACACCTCCACTGGAGGCACAGAAACTGCTCTTTTCAATGGCGCCTACCGAAGGAGTTGGATTCACGAAAGGTGAGCGTGAGAAAGGATTAAAACTGGCATTCATTGACATTAAACGAGCTTATTTTTACGCCCCGGCAAAGAAAGACATATTTATCAGGTTACCAGACGAGGACTATGAACCAGGTATGTGCGGAAAACTATTAAAATCAATGTACGGAACAAGAGACGCGGCGAGCAACTTGGAAGACTGTTACATGGACTTTGCTAACGAGGCTGGGTTCAAGAGCGGAGTTGCGTCGCCATGCGTATTCAAACATGAAATTCGAGCGTTATGGTTGACAGTTCCTGGAGATGATTTCACACTATTAGGAGGTGACCATGATCTCGATTGGTTTGAAAATACAATAAAGGAGGAGTTTGAAGTAAAAGTAAGAGGACGACTTGTACCAGGGAAGGAGGACATGAAAGCGATCAGGATTCTTAACAGGATTGTGGAATGGACTGAGGAAGGATTGAGATATGAGGCAGATCAGAGGCATGCAGAGATAATTGTGAAAGAGCTTGAGCTAGAGGGAGTAAAAGTGAGGACTGAGGTACCAGGTGAGCGCATTCCAGTTGAAGAGGGAGGTGAGGTGGAACTTTCGCCCAACATGGCTAAGAGATATCAAGCATTGACGGCCAGAGCGAATTATTTAGCACAAGACAGGTCAGACATACAGTATTCTGTGAAGGAACTCGCTAGAACCATGTCAAAGCCAACGATGAGTTATTGGAAAGGTCTGGTCAAATTAGGAAAGTATTTAAAGTACCACAGCAGAAGCAGCTATGTGTACCAATATCAGGAACCGCCCCGAGAATTAACGATTTGGACTGACACGGACTACGCAGGATGCAAACGAACCAGGAAGTCTACGAGGGGAGGAGTAGTGATGTGGGGTAAACATCTTATAAAGTCTTGGAGCACGACTCAAAGCGTAATCGCATTATCGTCAGGGGAAGCAGAGTATTATGGACTAGTGAAAGGAGGATCAGTTGGTTTAGGACTTCAGGCAGTGCTGAGAGATTTTAACTTGGAAGTTGAGATCACCCTGAAGAGTGACGCCACGGCTGCAATTGCCATTGCGAGCAGACGAGGCCTGGGGAAAGTGAGACATATTGAGGTGTGTCAACTGTGGTTACAGCAGAAGGTAAAGGAGGGAGTACTTCGTATCGTGAAAGTAGGAACACACGAGAACACAGCTGATGCGTTAACCAAGTATGTCAGTCGTGAGAGCATGAGCGCACACCTACGAAACACGAATCAATGTGCATTAACAGGTAGACATGGTCTTGCGCCAGCTACCGAATGTTGATATTCGCAGCTCATTTCTGTCAAGCAAGCTGCAGCGATTAAAGCCTTCTCCACCCATTACCTCTTACTCTTGGGCGTGAACGATACGGAGCTGAACATCCAGAATCGTGACTCGGGGGTTAACACGGCGGAGAATGCAACCAAGTACAGGCGCATCAACGACAACATTGGTTACCTCCTGAACACCGCCAGACGCCTTACCGAGAACATCGCGCCCCTGCAGGACTTCGAGGGCAAACGAGATGCGGCACTACGCATGTTGGTGGGAGTTACCGAGAGACTCGAAGGTTTACAGAGGTTCCTGAATGACCCGATCAGTTCCTCGGTTACCATCATCCCGCAGGTGCCTCCGCCGTTGCCCGAGCTGCCCCCAACGGCAGCAATCGCCAAGGCGCCACCCGCTGCTGTTACCGCAGCGGCCGAGGCTAGCCAGCCTCGGGCCCGAGCTGCCGCGGCCTCGGGCGCGTCCCCGGCTCAGGACCTTACCGGCACCGCGCCCAAGACCGGAGGGTTCGGTCGGTCCGTGTCGCCGAATAAGATCCCTCAGTCAACGGCGCCGCAACCTGTTTACAAGAAAGCACCCAAGGCCATGCATGAGCGTAAACGGGAATTGGAGGAGTTACTGCAGATCGGCATGAAGATGGATGAAGATCGTGCGCAGGGCAGTCAACGTGACGAAGTACCAAAAGGTCCTGCCCCTGTTGTGAACGCGAGGGCGCCCAAGCCACCTCCTCCGGGCCTTGGCGAGTCAAGTGCATCGAGCAGCGTTAGCGGCATGAAGCCCCCGCCTCCGGAGCCCAAGAAGTTATCGGCCCAGCACATCCCGCCGCCGCAACCTCAAGCTGTTAACCGCACGAACGACCAGCTTGCGGCATACTCTCGGAACATTGTCAGGGCTGTTTACCGCCCACTGTACCACGTCAACGGCCACATGCCCATGGCGAACGACAGGAGCGAGGACCACGACGTCAACTACAAGGCGGAACCCAACCCCAGGGAGGTAGTCGCGTTAACGATGAAGACGCGCGACAACTGGCGCAGGTTCGAGGGCAACTTCGTCGGGCATGTGGCGAAGGCGGGATTAACGACTCCTGGCGGTCGGTCTATTCAGGGCAACACGGGGCGGGAGCTTAACGACTACGATGAAGTGTTCGTTGGCATCTATGGCCAACATGCTTACGGTTTCATCGGCTACTCCGTGTTGAAGGGCCCGAGCAGCTGGAGATCTCAGTTGACGGAGAAAGAGTTGGCCAAGCACGACGAGTGGGTTGACGCAGTGGGGCACGTACAGTCTTTGTTCGACGACGAATATGTACCTCCACTCCACGTTGACGATCTCCACTCATCGTGGTTTGACGTTCACAGCTGTCCAGACACACAGGTGTACGTCAACAAGGTGCCGGAGATGAATGATAAGCAGCTTAACGGCCTTCTCTTAACGTGGGCAGGGATGCTGCCCCACGGCAACCCCACTGTGGTCTCTGTTAAGCATCTGGTGGAAGACACTTATGGGCCGCATGGTTACATCTCGACTGGGGTTACCGTAATTCGGTTTGCGACGCCTGACCTGGCCAAGCTCTATTGCCGTTACATGAACGGGCTCCAGGTGCATTACCGCAACTACTTCATCGAGGACCTCGAGGTCAGGAGCGCCGAGGAGTTAAAGGGCAGCATCAACAGGCCTCCAGTCTACTGGCGCCAGACCATCTTAGATGTCGCTCTTAACGATCAGGGGTCCATGAGGGCACTTTACCGTGACAATTGGCCTGCTGATCATATCACCGAGCGTAAAAGCGACCATCGTGAGAAGCTCTGCTGGTTTGGATGGTTGCCGTGCGACGACTTCCCCAAATGGCTTGCCGATCCGACCTGGACCGTGAACCCGTTTACTGGCGCTGCAGTCGAGGAGCACCTCCGCAACAATCCAGGTGGTAAACCTCTGTTGAAGGCCCCCCACGCCAGTTACTGGAGGGCCATCGGCACCTACCACAACATTGTCGACGGGTCCATCAAGAGCTTTGACGAGGGGTGCTGGCTCGATGACGAGGAGCGGATTAACGCGTACCTGGACGCCGACTATTACAGCCCGACGCAGGCCCTTAACAGGGTGTCGTCCTACACAGCGGCTAGTGTGGGGCATCGTGGGTTACCGAGGTCCAGGGGCGCACGCGCCCCGTCAGTGAGGCGCCCGCGCCGCTCGTGAACGGCGACCAGTGACCGGCATGCTGTTCTTTTACGCTCTCCCTCATCTCCCCTCTTAACTCGGCTTAACAATCGTGTTGCAGTGGCTTGTTGAGCTGAATCTGTGCGCATGTGCATCTTTTATAGTTACCGCAGGTATTGGCGAATAAAAAGCGAAAGCAGTCAAAACCATATAAATGCTAGCCTGTCGTGTAAGTTTTGGATGCTACGCTTAAACTTGCAATCGCAAGAACGTTTACTTGAGCTCATGTTGCATGTCTGAGAGACGTGGTGCTCGTAAACGTTGTCACGAGATCTTTCGAATTCGGCATTGTAACGATTTGTGTTCGTCATGCTGCTTGGTTCAACCTGTCTTTGCGTTTAAAAACACCTCCCCGTCAGCCAGTGCGGACTGGCGTCCGAGGGGGGGTGTTCGCATGAAAGAGTTCAGGTGACTGGGGAGGAATAGTAACCCTGTTGCTTTGGCTCAAGTGTTTAACGGCCGAAGCTACTGAGACCTGCTTTGCCGTTCGGGAGTATAAAGGTGACCGATCATTATCATTGTTGCCAGGCTCCCGTGCAGAACCCTCCTCGGGGTTTTGCAGGTGGAGGAGGAGGAGGGGAAGGAGGAGGAGGAGGAGGAGGAAAAGGAGGAGGAGGAGGAGGAGGAAAATTCCCGCTTCGGGCGGCCCGCACGGATGTCCTCGCCCTCCGGCTCGGTGCCCCTCCCGTGCTGCGCCGCCCGCGGGCCTGGCGTCGGGCGCGGCCTGGCCGACCCCTAGCCAGCCGTCCCCTTCTGTGACGCCCCCCCCTCGCCTCGCCCCAAGGCGTTAGGCGGGCGAGGGAGGGGGAAAAGTTCACGGACGGGGAAGTTTGGGGGGCGAGGGGAGGGAAACTCGGGGGGCGAGGGGGACGTCCCCGAAGGGGCTGGTTTGCCAGGGGTCGGCTGGGCCGCGCCCGCGCCCCGCTCGGACCGCTGCAAGACGGTCTTCCCAGGCCCTTGCATCCTCTCATCGCGCGTCCCTGTGATGCGGGCCGACTTTGCGCCGCCCGCTGGCCTGGCGGGCCCGCCGCCCCGCGCGCCGCCGGCCTGGCGGGCCCGCCGCCCCGCGCGCGCCAGGACGATGAGGGGGTCGTGCGCGAGCACCGCGGTGCGGGGCGGGGGGGCGGGGCGGGGCTGCCTGCCTCTGTGCTGTGCAGGGGCCCGTGTGGGCGGCGCGCCGGGGGGGCGAAGTGGGGAGGATCGAGGGGGAGGATCGAGAGGGAGGATCGAGGAGGAGGGGGAGGAGGAGGAGGAGGAGGAGGAGGAGGAGGAGGAGGAGGAGGAGGAGGAGAATCGAGCAAGGAGGGTGCGGGCTGGGAGGGTGCGGGCCTTCGTCTCTGGGCCTCCCAGATGGGGTTCAAGCTGGTGGGGTCGGAGGATCGCGCCGCATCGCCGATGCATGGGCGATGCAGCGTGGTGTGGAGCCCGATTTTCTCCACGCCGACGGCGCCGATGCATCGGCGACGTTGCCGATGCATCACCGATGCAGCGGCGATGCGGTGCAATCCTCCGATCCCATCCGCTCGGACCTCATTCGGGAGGCCGTTCTCTTCGGATGCCCCTTTTTTTTAGTTATAAGCTTTTAGAGTTTATTTTTTTATTTTTTTTTAGAGTATTTTTTTTTTATAGTTTTTTTAGAGGTTTTAGTTTTTAGAGCTTTAGTTTTTTTTTTTTAGTTTTTTTTAGAGGTTTTTTTAGAGTTTTTTTTTTTTCTTTTTTTTTTTTTTCTTTTATTTTTTTTTTTTTTTTTTTTATAGAGTATTGTTTTCTTTTTAGATTTTTTTAGTTTTTTTTATTAGTTTAGGTTATATGTTATTTAGATTTTTTATTTAGAAGTTTTTTTTTATTAGAGTTCTTATTTTTTTAGTTTTTTTTATAGTTCTTCTAGTTAGTTTAGAGGTTGGTATCGGCCACTCGCAGAATTGGGTATAGGGAGGGGGGAAGGCTTCTCAGAATGAGTCTGCTTCCTAGAAGGCTCGGGCCTTGTCCATAAATGGAAGGCCGGCACCTTCTAAGAAGCAGCGTCCTTCTGAGCAGCCTTCCCCCTCCCCCCTCCCCCCCTCTGCACGCCGACACTGGCACCAACACCAGTATCGGCGGTTGCCTGCATGGAGGGACCATGATCCTGATCTGGGCGATGGTGGTCTTATCGGGGGAGCGTAAGACCCGGGTTTGCCAGGACTCGGGTTCGCCATCGTTTTTTGACGACCGCGCCTCGGATTTTGACGAGGAGGAGTTTCGTGGGATGTCTGCAGCGGGAGGCCTCGTCAAGATGCAGGCTCGACCTCGTCATTTTTTTGACGACCTCGTCGGGGATTTCCGAGTCCCCTGTACCCAGGTCTTACGTCCCCCTGATCTTAGCGGGCCGGGAGAATCTACTGCCAGCACCAAAATCCAGGATAGTCTTCCTCGGTGGAGGCAGGGGCCAATGCAGACGGGGTCAGCCGGAGCGCCGGATCTTGCAGGATCCTGCAAAGCCAGGGTTGCATTGACCCAGGTTGGCGCGCAGGATCCTGCAGGTTCCTGCAGGATCCTTAGGGGTCCACATGCGAACCCTACCCCTAACCCCCACGATTTCTGAGGGGGAGGGTGGGGTTCACTTCGCTCGGGAGCTCCCGAACGAAGTGAACCCCACTCTCCCCCTCAGAAATCGTGGGGGGTAGGGGTAGGGTTCGCATGTGGCCCCCTAATTCTCCGCACAGCCCGACTGACCCGGGTTTGGGCTGGCCCGGGGCAGTAGATGCCCGAGGTGGTGCGGGTGCCCATGTCGAGGCCTCCGTTTCTCAGCAGGCGGCGGGGCCTCGGAGAAGGCTCGGGAGGCCTCTCGGAGGGCCAGACGCCCTGGATCAAGCAGTGGCGAAGCGTTCTGGCTCGCCTATAGGCCTACGAAGCAATGTTCCAAGAACTTTTTTTTGTGGCTTCCACGCAGAGTGTTCTTAGAACAGTTCTGGCGAAGACCGTCGTGTTTTAGGACATCGGGCCTATGTTCTAAGAACATTGTTTATGTCTTTAGAACATTTTTGGGTTCCAAGAACGTGTCGTGGTAGGCCTATAGGAATGCCGGGACGGTCAGCCCCTGCTCACCGCGTGCCCCTTCTGCCTCCCCCCTTTGGCGCGCGCCGCTGACCCTGGCCGTGGCTTCCCGAGCTGTTCCTCGGAGGACGCCCCCCGACCGCCTCGCCGGTCCTGGCCGGGGCCCAGCCTATATGGGCCCCGGAAACCTGCACCGTACGTGCAGTGCCAGGGGCGGCGGCCCGTCTTCCCATCTTACCATCATAGGGGGATGCGAAGTCCTTGAAGACGGGACGGAGTGGGCACGAGCGGGCATCATAGCCGGCTCAGAATCAAAAGAGGCATCATAGCCTCATCAGTCTAGATTGATCCACACGGATCCACTGCAATTGATTTCCATGGAATTCATTTCATGCGTAGCATGCTCTCCCCTCGAGTCATGACAAACATCACGACAAAGGCTTTTCGCTATCTTCGGCCTCGGGCGGCCCTTCCGGGCCTCGGGACCGTCAAAAAACGACTCAGGATGAGAAACCGGTCCGGGGGAAGGGGTCGAAACCTTTGGGGGTCGACGTCATGAAAAATCATGACGTCGGGGGTCTGGGCCTCAGGGTCGGTGCATGTGCATCCTCTGCCCGGCCGGAAGCGCGTATTATGTGCACCGGCCCTGGGCCCAGGCTTGGGCCCGGCCAGGGTCGGCGAGGTGCACAGGTGACAGCCCCCGGAGACTTTGGGGGTAGCTGCGCCCCTTTCACAGTCTGAGCTTCCAGGCGGTGCGATCGAGCTGGGTTCCAGGAAGGACGGGGACGAAGACCGGCAGCAGTTGCTGCCCTCATTTGGGCTGGGCTCGCTGCCAGTGCCGCCGGGACGTAGTCCGTTCGAGAGCAGGTCGCCTGGCCAGCAGCGGCCGCTGCCGGTTTTTGGACGACGTCTGCTGCCGGGCATCGTGCCATGATTTTTTCCAGACCCTTTCCGGGCGTGCCAATCCAGAGTCTCGCTTTGGGGCTCCAGGACTTCTCACCGAGTGCGCTCCACTAATACTCGCAAAGGGCCGACTCGCAGATTTCCGACAAGTGTCTGTCTGCCTCGATGTAAGAGATCGTAAAAATCCTCCGCGGCGGATCGAGGCCGTCTGCGAGTAGCTACTTTGCGAGTACAGTCGGGGCCCTGAAGAAGGAACCCTTTTCGTTGGGGAGGGGCTCCGCGTTCCTTAAGTGTTTCACAGCTTGCCTCAGGTTTTCCTATGTTCTCGATAGGAAATCGAAGTTGAACTTATGGAAAAAGGGGGCCTCGTTCCTTGTTTGGGGTTCCTTAGGTCAACGCCCCGACTGTAGTTCCACGCGCTTGTCCAACTTTAACGAAAGCAGACCGCGGCGCGAGAAGGCCACGGAGTTTGACGCACACGTTGGCCAGACGTGGGGACGCCGGAGGTTCTCGGGGAAGAGAGGTTTGTGGGGCCCCACGCTCTGTCGCTGCGGCGGTCCCGGCGCGAGCGTTCGAGGTTGAACGGCAGCAGCTGCCCAGTCCTGCCTGTCCTTCTACAGGGGGAATATTCGAAACTTGTAAATAATAGTCTGGGGATTGTTGTTTGACTTTATTATTGTTATTGTTATTGTTATTGGTATTGGTATTATGATTACTATTATGATGATGATTATTATTATCATTATTATTATTACGATTATTATTACGATTACTATTACTATTATTATTATGCCCATTATTATTTTTTATTATTCTTAGTATCATTGTTCTTATTCTGATGTAGGGGTATTTTTTTGTGAGTGTGTTTCAATGTTCGCCCCAAATCCGCTTGGAGGGGGGCACGCTCGACCTAAGATTGTCATGACACGATGTGGCGATCGAGAAGCCGCCGATCGATCAACGTTGAGCGATCCGCGCGGTGCCAGAAGCCACTGCCGGGGTCGTCACGGCATGAACCTGCTGTGCTCGAGACCACCTGCCTTCGGCAACACCCCAACATACTTATACTATATGTGCGTCGCCCCCCCAGGGGCGACGCGCGCACCGAGAAATCTTATAGTATATGCGTCGTGGCGTGCGCTTTCTGGCCACACCGCTCGGGAAACGATATACTACAAGATGGGTATACTACATATTCGGGTCGGACGCGCGCCTCCAAGGAGGACATATAGTATTAGTATGTCCATGTGCGTCCCATGCCTTGCCATTGCCATCAGCGAGTCGAATCAGCCCAGCCAGGCAGCCTCTAGCCAGGCCCACCAGCCAACGCGCCAACCCGCCTACCCTCCAGTACTGCCGCTGGGAGGGAAGTGCTCCTTGCCGGCGGAGGCGGAGGAGATCGCCCTATACGGGGCAGAGGGACGGCTGAGGCAAGCTCGCCAGAGCCCTTGCGTGGGAAGGGTCTCCAGGGGAACTGGCGCTGAGAACCAGCCAGGCGCCACGCCGTTGTCGCGTGTTCATCCCCCCAATGTCCACGCCCTGGGCGGAAGTGCTCCCAGATCGGGAGGTGTCATCATATTTCAGCCTCCCAGTACTTACGAAAGGGACGGCCTGGGGGCTCCCAGAGTCGCTGCCGAAACCATTTCTTTCACGCTTCGCGACCCGTGACGATTCTAGTCGAGTTGCGTTGATCAGGGACACCTGCGACCTCTCCCCGTATCCAGACATCAGACGTCGTGTTTTTTGTTTCAAAACGTTGCTCCCCACAGGCGAGGATGCCTCCTGGGGGATTGGCTCTTCGTTCCGAATTGTTTCTGACGGTCTCTGGGCCCGTGTAGGGCCCCCGGAGTCCGAACATGGGCGAACATGTCCGTCGTGTCCATGTTCACGAAGCGAGGGTGCGAGGGCACAGTCATCGTGCTATCGCGAGAACGCCATACAAAGAACGAATCGGCTTCTGGCCACGGTGAGCCTCGGCTTCGAGTAGGGTCCCCGACCTAGATCTGTGGATGACAATCAATGGAGAGGAGGCATATTGCCAAAACAATGCAGATGCCTGACACATGTTTAATCTATGTGTTGTAAAGTGTTCACACATGTTTTAGCCATGCTTCTAACATGTTTCAAGCATGGAGACTACATAACAAACACATTTGTAATTGACTACTAGAGCTGTTAGGGTGTCAATTGTCATGGCGTCCACAAACCTAGACCCAAGGAGTGGCCCGAAAAGGCCATAGCTCCGCGTGAGCCCCACGCGGCCCTCACTCCAGAGTCTTCACCGCAGGGGCGCCGCGAGAGCCTTCCTGGCTGAGGAGGAGGAGGAGGATGAGGAGGATGAGGAGGAAGGAGGAGGAAGGCGGAGGAGGAGGAGGAACAGGAGGAGGAGGAGAAGGAGGAGGAGGAGGACGAGGAGGAGGAGGAGGAGGAGGAGGAGGAGGAGGAGGAGCAGGAGGAGGAGAGGGAGGTTTTTCCCCATATCCTAAGATGGGGTTCTTGTTATTACTTGGACGCCTCCTACTCCTTCTCCCTCCTCCTCTTTCCTCCTCCCCTCCTTCTCTTGCCTCATACTCAGACCTACTCATACACAGACTTACTCATACACAGACCTACTCATACCCAGACTTACTCATACACAGACTTACTCATACACAGACTTACTCATACTCAGGCATACTCATACTCAGACCTACTCATGCTCAGACTTACTCAACACACATCAGATTTGGAGGATGTCTCAAGCGGGGCGCTGGTTTCAGCACCCCTAAGGGGAGCCGCCAGGGGTGTTTGCACGGGCTCGTTCGCGGCCATTTTGTGGGGATGTCTCAGGCGGTTTGCTTGTTTCTGGGCCCAACATCCTTCGCTTTCGGAGCAGATTTGGAGGATGTCTCGAGCGAGGCGCTCATTTCAGCACCCCTAAGGGGAGCCGCCAGGGGTGGTTGCACGGGCTCGTTCGCGGCCATTTTGTGGGGATGTCTCAGGCGGTTTGCTTGTTTCTGGGCCCAACATCCTTCGCTTTCGGAGCAGATTTGGAGGATGTCTCGAGCGAGGCGCTCATTTCAGCACCCCTAAGGGGAGCCGCCAGGGGTGTTTGCACGGGCTCGTTCGCGGCCATTTTGTGGGGATGTCTCAGGCGGTTTGCTTGTTTCTGGGCCCAACATCCTTCGCTTTCGGAGCAGATTTGGAGGATGTCTCGAGCGAGGCGCTCATTTTCACCCCCCAGGTGGGCCAGATTTTGAGGATGTCTCGATCGGTTTGCTTGTTTTGGTGGCCAGGCTCGTGGGCGCAGATTCTTCTCAGGATGCCACAGGAGGCTCCAACAGGCTCCAGGAGGCCCCAGGAGACCACATGAGGTCCCAGGAGGCATCAGGAGGCCACAGAAAGACTCAAGAGGCCACAGGATGTCCCACGAGGCTCCAGGAGGCCCCAGGAAGCTCCAGAAGGCCTCGGGAAACCACAGGAGGCCCCAGGAGGCAACAGGAAGCGCCAGGAGGCCTCGGAAGGCAACAGGAGGCCCCGAGAGGCCCCAGGAGCAGGAGGCCTCAGAAGGCAACAGGAGTGGCTCCAATCCCATGTGTTTTACGTATGCTCCTATCGATTGGGCCTCACCTGGAGCACGATTCTTTGATGTTCTACGTATGTTTCTATAGATGGTCCTTCTCCTGTGTACACAATCCTAAATGTTTTACTCATGTTCCTATGTATTGGGCCTCTCCTGGGGCACGAGTCCTTGGTGTTTTACGCGTGTTCCTATAGATTGCCCTTCTCCTGTGGCTCTAATCCGCAATGTTTTATGTACGTCTGTTGCTATAGATTGCGCCTCTCCTGGGGCACGAAACCTTCCTAGGAGGTCCCAGGAGGTCCCAAGAGGCTCCTGGAGACCCCAGGAAGCCCCAGTAGGTTTCAGGAGGCCGCAGGAGGCCCCAGGCTCATGCACAGAGACGCGCTCGTACTACTGAGGCTCATTCACACTCCAATTCAGTCGCAATTAGATTGATGTCCAGACCGTCACAACTGAAGCCCGTTAATTTTCGAAAGCTCTTGCGCCTAGACATTCACGGCGGACAGGTCCATGCGAGTAGATGCACATATGGGGAGCTCCACGCAGTGAATAGTTTTTTGAATTGCGACCTGATTCGCCATGGACAGCGGTCAGATAGTGTCGGCACTCAGCTAGCTTCATACACGCGAGCAGTCGAGAGCATCGAAGCACGGGCGCCAAGGAGAGTACACGTTCACGGCCCAGCCACCCCATGCCCATCCCTAGAGGGAGGGAGGGAGGGAGGGAGGGGGGGGGGGGAGGGAGGGAGGGAGGGAGGAGGGAGGGGGGGGGGAGGGGGGGAGGGAGGGAGGGAGGGAGGAGGGAGGAGGGAGGAGGGAGGAGGGAGGAGGGAGGAGGGAGGAGGAGAGGGAGGGAGGAGGGAGGAGGGAGGAGGGAGGAGGAGGAGGGAGGAGGGAGGGAGGAGGGAGGGAGGGAGGAGGGAGGAGGGAGGAGGGAGGAGGGAGAGGAGGAGAGGAGGAGGAGGGAGGAGGGAGGAGGGAGGAGGGAGGAGGGGGGAGGGGGGAGGGGGGAGGGGGGAGGGGGGAGGAGGGAGGAGGAGGAGGAGGAGGAGGAGGAGGAGGAGGAGGAGGAGGAGGAGGAGGAGGAGGAGGAGGAGGAGGAGGAGGAGGAGGAGGAGGAGGAGGAGCAGGAGGAGCAGGAAGAAGAGGAGGAGGAGGAGGAGGAGGAGGAGGAGGAGGAGGAGGACAAGCTAGGTGCGCTCGCGTCATATCTGACGTCCTACCCCTCCCTCCCATCCCTTACCATGGCGTAGATCTCCTCTCTATTCGCACAGTCGGATATCGAGCATGGCAATGATCCCCAAAGGGTGCGCGATGCATCGTAGAGCGCTACGTAGCAGGGCGTAGAGGAGCACGGCAGAGCGTAGTATGTCATAGCATTGCGTGGCGTTGCGTAGTGACGAATTGCGTCACAAAGCGTTGCAACGCGAATAATGGCATCGCACAGCGGCACAGAACAGAACTTGGCATACAATGGCGTTGAAGGTCAAAACGCAGCATGGCATAGCATGGCGTGGCACTGCGTAGTCAAGTACTGCATATCCTAGCATTGCAGCTGAAGGCATGGCATCGCACAGCGGAACTCCACATAGCATTGCATTGCATGCCGTGGCATGGCTCTGGAAATAATGACGCCAGCGCTGCAGCGGGAGCACGATTCGGAACGAGTGCAACCGCGGAAATGAGGCCAGCGCTGCCGCGGGAGCACGATTCGGAACGAGCGGAAGTTCGGAAATGAGGCCAGCGCTAAAGCGGGAGCATGATTCGGAACGAGCGGAAGCCCGAAAGTGAGGCCAGCGCCTCAGCGGGAGCCTGTGTGTAAAAAAACAGTGCGCGGAGGGGGGCCTAACATCTTCCGGACGTCATCAGGGGAGAGAGGGGAGTAGTATTCATGTAGTGTTTTGTCGAGGAGGAGGAGGAGGAAAAGGAGAAGGAGGAGGAGGAGGAGGAGGAGGAGGAGGAGGAGGAGGAGGGGGACGGGGAGGGGGAGGAGGAGGAGGAGGAGGAGGAACAGCGAGGAGCAGCAGCAGGAGGACGACGGCGTGCAAGCTCAGGGCGCTGTGCGGGCCGGCGCCCCGCGCGGCCTCGAGGTCGCTGGTCTTGCCAGCTCTCTGCCGTGGAGCTCCTCCAGCGCTTCTTCCAGTTCTACCACAGCGGGCGCGCCCCCCTTCTTATTCCGAAGAAGAAGAAGAGAAAACCCATAAACATAAACTTTGGCGCGCCGCGCGGATTTCGTGGATCCGCGCTGGGGCCCCCTCGGCAGCGCCTCCGGCGCCGCCCATGGCGCGCTCCGCGCGCCAGGTCAGGGGGGTCCAGCGCAGATCCAAGAAATCCTTGCGGAGCGCCAAGGGTTATGTTCATGGCGTTTCTCTGCTTCTACTTCTGCCGCCGCGCTGCGCAGCCGCGGCGCTCGGGCGGAGGTCGGAGCACCGAGCAGAAAGCGGTTCCTGCCGGATTGGGGCTACTGCGCGCCCCTGTCGGTAATCGCATTCCCCGGATGATGAAGCGGACCCCCCGCTTCCCACGGTCCTCACGATAATCCCTGGCCAGCAGGTGGGGAGCGGCGGGGGAGCGGCGGGGCCGAATTTCATTATCGCCCGCGGAAGTCTGCATCGTAGATCGAATCTTCGTATCATCATCATCATCAGCATCATCAGCGGTTTTCCGGTGTGCCCCCCTTCCTTGTGCTTCTTCGTTGTTGCGGCTGCGTGCCCCCCCCCCCCCCTGCGTGTTCCCCTTCTGCTCCGCGGCTGGTGCTGCTGGTTGGGTGGGCCTTTTGCCTAACTTCGGGCGTCGGGTGGGCTTGGTGGTGGCCTGGCAGATTTAGCTTGTCGCTTGCGCTCCAAGGAAGCGTGCGGCCAACCATTCGACAACCGTTTCCGCCCCCGCTGCCGCCCCTCTTGCTTCTCTTTGCTGGTTTATCCGGCCCTCTGTCCCCTCTCGCTGTCTCCCTGTCTCTCTCTCTCTCTCTCCTTGTCTCTCCCCGAGTGCACGGACGTCAGATGAAGGACTACTGCAAGTGCCCCTGGCGCGGAAAGAAGCTCATCCTCTCTTCCCCTTCCTCCTCTTCCTCCTCTTCCTCCTCCTCCGCCTCCTCCGCTCCCCCCCCCTTGTTCCCCCCTCTATCCCCGTGCCCCCCCTCCCCCCTCTCCCCCTTCCCATCCCCCGCGGCGGCGGCGCAGCGGACAGACGGGGGGCGCTCCGAGCCGCCGCCCAAAGCTCCCGCCCGCGGCGAGGTTCCAGTGGGGCGACGAGGCGGGCCCCGCCGCCGCCGCCGCCGCTGCCGCCGCCCCCGCCCCCGCTGGAGTGTTCCGAGGGCGGCCGGATGGCGTCCGCAGGCTTCGAACCTGCCAGCCGAAGGTTTTCGCAGTATACTGATCATCAGTCTACTTCTCCCCCGCCGCTCCATCAGTGATGGAACGGCGGAGGAGGAGGAGGAGGAGGAGGAGGAGGAGGAGGAGGGGGAAGAGGAATATTAATCATAATAAACAATAATAGCAATAATGATTATAGCAATACTACGAATACGACGAGTACCAATAATCCACATACGATTCAGAAAAGTACGTACATACATACATATGAACAATGATACTACAAATCCTAATACTCACAATACTATCCACAATAATAGTACTACGAGTTTTTATAAGAAGAATAGTCACAATGCTGACACGAAACATAAGAATAATGACAAGGCGAATAATAGCAATACTCAGAAGACTAAGCATGTTAGTAGTCATATTAATAATAAGACGAGGAAGACGACGAATCCTAAGAAGACTAAGCTGACTAAACATACTCGTAATACTAAAACTACGCAAAGGAAGGCTACCGATTACATTAATACAAGTAAGACTAATGATACTAGTACTGATAATAATACTACTACTAATAATAAGAAGGCTACTAATCAAACTGATGATATTGCTAAGCCGAACAATACTAACACGACGAATGGTAACACTGCTGCTACGAATGATAATGCGCATGCTACAACTAACAATGCGAATGTCAATACTACGAAGGCGAGTACTAATACTAATCAGAAACGTATAAATACGCATACTGGTAATAAGCTGACTAATGCTAAGCCTAATCATGCTACTATTCATAAGACGAAACTAAACATAATACGAATAACAAGAGGAGGGAGAGGAGAAGGAGGAGGAGGACGAGGAAAAGCAGTAGGCGGAGGAGAAGGCGGAGGAGGAGGGGGAGGAGGAGGAGCAGGAGGACGAGGAACACGACACGGTTGAGGAGGAGGCGGAGGAGGAGGAGGTGGAGGCGGAGGAGGAAGAGGACGAGGAGGAGGAGGAGGACGAGGAAACGGATAAGGTGGAGGAGGAAGAGGAGGAGGAGGAGGAGGAGGAGGAGGAGGATTGGGGTGAGGAGCAGGAGGAGGAGGATGAAGAGGAGGAGGAGGAAGAGGAGGAGGAGGAGGAGGAGGAGGAGGAGGAGGAGGAGGAGGAGGAGGGGGGGAGGGAGGAGGAGGAGGAAGAAGAGGATGATGAGGAAGAGGAGGACCCGTGTAAACCCCAAACCCATCAACGATGTTGGAATGAACCTGTCTTCTATGCTCCCTCTTCGTAGGCCCCATCCAAGACCCTGAAGCGTGCCAACCGCCATTATTGGGACTTCAACGCCACGAATCAACCTGTCTACAGTGCCGTTTTTTTTATACATGCTCCGTGTGCGGACCATGTATTCAAAATAAAGGGTTGATTAATACATGCAAGGCTGAGTTTAGGCATTACATCATTCATAGCTCAATCATGTGTTTGAATTCCAATCTATAAAACATCTCATGTATTAAAACCTGCCCTGTATTGCGGCTTGACGATATTTCATCGTGCCAGAACACCATCCTTGGGACTTCAACGCCTCGAATCAACAGAGCTGGTGCGCACTCACAATCCTGAGTCTGTCCAACATGCCATTTCTGGATTGGAAATGTTTAAGACGAGTGTGCGCGGCGTTATGGCGACACCCACATTTTCAAAACGACCTGCCCTAAATCAGTGAAGCTCTTTCGCATTATTGGAACGAGTGAACGCGGCGTTACGACGATAACCGCATTTTGAAAAAGGAGTCGCTCTTAATATGTGAAACTCTTGCATTGCTTTGCAGAAAGTGCGCGGCGCTACGACTGAACCGCAATTTGAAAACGGCTTGCCCTCAATCCGCGAAACCTTTCTGTCGCTTTCCGAAACGACTGTGCGCGGCGTAATGGCGTGGTTGCCAATTCTTAAGATGTAGGGTCATAAGTGGTAACACAGTCGCAGGCGAACCGCTCGGCCCGTCCGTTCGACTGGCCGCAACAGGGAGGAGTTGTTTTATTTACCAGGAAAAGAGATGGAGGAGGAGGAGGAGGAGGAGGAGGAGGAGGAGGAGGAGGACCAGTGTAAACCCAAGACTCACCAACGATGTCGATGTTGGAATACACGCTCCCTCCAAGTTCCTTCTTCACATGCCCCATACAAGTACTCACTTCCACTGAGGGAAGTGTCCCGTTGGGGGATAACCTTGTCAAAACCCGTAAGAGTTTTAAATCACCATTCTAAGGACCCCAACGCTACGAGTCAACCTGACTGTTGCGACTGTTGCGCCTTGACAGTCTCCTTGAAGGTTACTCTGATAATCAGCGAAACGAGTGTGCGCGGCGCTGAGGCGAGAACCTCATTTTGAAAAAGGAACCGCCCTCAGTCCGTGAATCTTCTTTTTCAATTTAAGACGAATGTGCGTTTCGCTGAGGTGCGAGCCAAAGTTTGAATTCACCCGCCCTCGATCCATGAAGGTCTTACAAATGCTCAGCACGGGTGTGCGCGGCGCTGAGGCGAGAGCCAGATTTTAGACCACCCGTCATCAGTCTGTGAAGCTCTTGTATTTTTTAAGACGAATGGGCACCGCGCTAAGGCGAGAGCCACGTATTGGAAGCGACCCGCTTTCCGTATGTGAAATTGTTGCCATTTTCTAAGCCTCAGGCTCAGAAGTAGTAAGGGAAACTCAGGCGAAATGCCCAGCCTGCCCTGCCGACCAGCCTCATGGTGCGACAGGAAGGATCGAGTTATGCAGAAGGAAGGGAAATGGAAGAGGAGGAAGGGGAGGAGTTGGAGGAGGAGGAGGAGGAGGAATGAGGAGGAGGAGGAGAAGGACGAGGAGGGGGAAGAGGAGGAGGAGAATCATCGGGGACGTCCTGCAACTCCCCCGGACCCTTTCTGAATTTTGGATGCCTCTCGGCGGTTGTGCAGTTGAGGACAATGTCCCTAGACAACAGCACGGTGGACACCGATTGGGTCAAGCAGTGCTGTTTTTGGGCCCCCCAGCGGCAACCCTACCAAGTTTCTTGCCGCTGATCCAATCCATTTCCGCGAGGCCCTGGCTAATGTGCAAGCTCATGCATTACCCGTGTGGGGCGGGACGCCAGTGGCGCTTGCAGGACTGCGCCAGCAAAGCAATGACCCCACAGTTTCGCTCCTACGTGGCTGCCTTCCTTTTCCGCCGCGCCGCCTGCCAGTCTTATGAGTCCCAATGTGATCGTGCGCGCTATTGTCTAGGCGCAGAGGATGCCACGGATGGGGGCATTCAGCAATTCCATGTGTCCCTTGGCCCTTATTTGATGGTCATCAATGGGGTGTCCATGGCACGGATGGCAAGCGTTGGTTTATCTTTGTCGCTAGTTGGTGTTTCCCCCCCATGGGTGCATGCTGCTCTGCGTGCTTCACGCGATCTACGGGTGGTTTTTCAGTTCGGTTCAGGATGAAGGAGGAAAGGGGGAGGGAGGGATGGGCCAGGGAGGGGGCAGGAGGATGAGAAAGAGGACCAGACCAATCCCAAGATGCACCAGCGATGCCGGAATACACGTTTCAGTCCCGAGTCTTTTCCCTTATAAGTCTCTTTCCCTGTAAGGCTTTACACACCTTTCCTTTTATCGTGAGAAGCGTCGCCATCGAAATATCACCGCCCCTTCTTAATCAGGCGAGGGCCCCGTTTAGAAAAGGACTCGTCTTGCATTCTTGTACTACGTGGTACAGAGTACGAGCAGGTATGGCCGCATGTTATGGTCCAGCGAGGTATCCAGCGAAAGCCCCATTTTGCAGAAAGATTGCCCCGCGTCTGTGTAAGTGCCGCACGTGTTTACACTTCTGGACATGAAGCTGCGAGGAAGTCTCAAACGATAAGTCCATTCTGAACATGACCCGCCTTCCATCATGTTGAAGCTTGTGTTTTTTCAGTTCAAGGAAGTCTCAAGGGAACGCTCATGTTTGAATTAAACGGGCTTCCATCCGAGTAGCTGCTGCAAATTTTAAGGCGAATGTGGGCGGCGCTAATGCGAGAGCCACATTTTGAAAACGACCTGTGTTCCATCCGTGTCACTGTCGCAAGGCTTCACCATTAATGTTCGCGGCGCTATTGGGACATCTCAATTTTGACAATGACCAGTGCTCCATCCGCGTTGCTGTTGCAAACGTTTACTGCGAACATGCCCGGCGCTATTGCGAAGGCCTCATTTTGAAGACGACATTTGCTCCATCCGGGTATTGGTTGCACTTAGGACGAATGTACTCGGCGCTAAATGGAGAATCCCTGTTTGGAAAATACCCGTATGCTCCATCCTCGTAATTGCTGCAAGCGGTTAAGACGCTCAAGCGAACACCCCATTTTGAAATAACTTGTGGTCCATCCGCTCAATTGCCGCGAATTCCAAGCTTCAGGAGCATGCGTGGTGATGAAGTGCTAGGCGACACGCTCGACTCTGCCCGCTCTACCGACACGCCTCGCGGCGCGATAGGGAGTTGTTCATACGGAGCAGGGATGGAGGAGGGTGGAGGATGGAGGTCGGAGGAGCCCCAGGACCGACCCGCGAAAGCAGAAGGATGCTGCCGAAACATCATGAACGCATGTCGAGCACTGCCCGATCGCCTTCTCCTCCTTCCCTCGTCCCTGTCCTCCCTGTCCGACCTCTCCTGGAGTGGGGCACGGCCCGGGTGTCGAGGCGGGTTGAGGCGTGTCGCCGCCCCCCTCCCCCCCCAAAAACTTCCAAGAGGCGAAAGCATCCTCCTCCTCCTCCTGCCACTCCTCCTGCTCCTGCTCCTCCTCCTCCTCCTCCTTCCCTTCCCTGCCCTCCTTCTCATTCTCATTATCATCATCCTGCTGCTCCTTCTCCCTCCTCCTCCTCCTCCTCCTCCTCCTCCTCCTCCTCCTCGCCTCCTCCTCCTTCCCCTCCTCCGCCCCCTCCTTCCTCCCTTCCCCTT